AGAGTTGTTCATGTGGATATCGATAGAGGGAGTAAATCTATATTGTCATCTCTTGAGATCCAAACTCTTGAAGAGAACACGTGTCAAGTTTGAAGAATTAAAAGGTAACTCTTCTATCCACTTTAACTTAAATGAGTTCGTTCAGTTCATATCGAGATAGGAATTTAAAATTTAATCTTTCATTGTGCCTCCCTATCCAATAGTTTATGCTCTCATCTTCCTTTCTCTACCACATTTATGAAGATTTGAGTTAGGATTTGAGTTGGGAGATTGGTTTTTGGTCCATAGGAGCTATGGGTCCAATTCCATTGTCTAAAATGGATATAATGGGAGTAGTTTAGAGTATTTAAACTCTACATTGATGATTTTGTGTATGGTTAGTTGGGAGAAGTAATTAATATTTGAAAATTATAATAAGTGAGGTTGTTGGAGGAGTTTATGGCTCATTAATGGTGGCTTATTGATTCCTTGAAGCCAAAGTGGGTCCATAAAACCTAGTGAACCTGTTAGGTATGAATAGGTAGTGAATTATAGGATTGATAAAATAAAAAATAAGGAATTAATGTTGATAAAATCCCTAAGAGTGAGATAATGCTAATATTCTTGTATTGTGATTGTAGTGTGGTTTAATTTGACACCATTCAAGCTTGTGAGAAGTTTTGGAAGTTAGTATTGTGAGAGGTAAACCTTTAACCTTTTAAAGGTTTGAGGTAATTGGGGAAAACCTAGTTTATATAATTGAATATTAATTGGTTATTTGTTGAAAATGGGTTGATTTGAGATATGATTGATACTTTAAACCCTTGATACAAATTTAGCATATTTGATGATGTGACATTATAAAAATGCTTAGTGTGTTCACATTCATATGAATAATGATGATAATTGAGAATATGTGAGCATGTATTAATAGATATGTAGACTATAATGGTGAAAAAGAGTTTTATATGCTTGATGTGATGAGAGGATTGTATCAATGACATTAATTATCATAAGTGCATAGTATGTGTCAAATATGCATTGCATGATTATTGGCAGGAGTTCGCTTAGGTAGAGGAGCAAATGGTTAAATCCATATGGCATTAGCAGTAACTGTTGGAATCGAGAGGTAGCCCTTATTCCATAATTGATTCGAGATTGTTCCACTTGTTCTATAAAGGGCTTGAACCTAACTAGTCTCCACCAGTTTATGAGGAGGCTAGATTAAGGGTATGACACTTTATAGTTATTAGTATTAGGGAAAACCAGATTACACAAGTAAGTGAGTTAACCCTAGCCTAGTAGCTCCTCACTAGTAGAGGGCTGGGTTAGTCCATGAAGGACGCAGCCACCAAATAGCTACCGGTTTTATGTCAGAGATAATAGGAGGTAAAAGGTTAGGATTTGATCATACATTTAAATCTCGCCACATGGTTGTTATTATTGTGGTCCAGCATGAGTTAGGGGCGTATGGTTAGTATTTTTGCGACCCCAATATGTGCATTATCATTTTATGTGATTACATGTGTTTAAGGCCCAATTGCATGGTTGTTAGTGTTGTGAGCCGTGGCTATGTCTTAATATGTGCTATACTTGTATAGTTTTGCCTATTTGCATCTGGTTTTCAATTGATATGAAACTATATAGATTAGGTGAAACTTGGTTACTAAGTGATTATACTCACCCCTCAATTCTCAGTATTTTCAGGGCTTAGCTTATCAGATCAAGGTTAGGAAAAACATTTAGAGGCATAGGATTTGTAGAATAATCCTTTTGCATGCATCTCCTTGTTGTTTTATGTGTATAAATGTTGATTTGATTGCCAACTAGAAATCTCATGATATTTTTATACTACTTGCATTATTGTAGCATACAACTTATATATTTTGTACCTTGGGTTAGTAAGTTTTGGTTGTAAACTCATGAATAGGGCTAAAATACTTGTGCAAGTAGAAACATGTGTATTTTGAATGATTTGAAATGAAAAGAGTTGATTTGTACAAAGTTTTCCTTCCCCTCGTGTTTTATGAAAATTTAGGGTTGAGTGGTGATTTTGTGTTATATGTGTTTTTGATTGAATGTGGTGCATTGCACAAGTTCTTTAGAGTCCATTAAGTGTGGTTAGATGGTCAGTGTAAGCTTTTGGGTCTTACAGTTGAGTTGGGATACTATTGTTGTGAGTTTTATGTGAAAAAGTGGTAAAATGGGTTTTAGTGTCTAACTTTTTATAGAAAATGAATTTGAGTGTGAAACTAGTGCTATTAATTTGAATTAGGAGAAAGTTTCGTATAAACATTGAAACTACTTCAATCGGACATCGAACTGAGATTTGGGATGTCTTCAAAGTTTGCTTCCTATGTTGTCAAATTGATAGATGATAACTGTCATATTCGTGTAATGGACCGTTGGACATGGTGCCTCATCGCATAGAGAGGGGTGAGCCACAGTGTATATGTGCTTAGCCATGGAGTATGGATTGTTTTCTACACAAAACACATTTTTGAGTTTTGAAACTCAATGTTTTGGGTCTTAATCGAATTCCAAGCTTTCACATTGTTTTAAAACTCTGATTTGAGCATAATAAGTATTTGATAAAGATTAGAAATGTTGAATTTTAGGAATCCATTGCTATTGATTAGAAAATTATTTATTTTTATAATTTTACAAACTTGGTAATTTACTTGGGTTACTCTCGTAATTACCTCAAATATGGAGTTAATTGTACTTAAGTAAGGGAGACCTTACATGAAAGAGGAGCAAGTACGGAATAAAACCATTCGCTTAATTAAGGTGATATGGAAGGGAATGACTCTCGGAGGTGCTACTTGAGAAATAGAGGTGAAAATGAGACAAAGTATCCCCATCTCATTCTGTGAGGTAAGATTTACTTGATTAATCGAATTTTGGGGATAAAATTCTTAAAAGGAGGTGAGAGTTGTAACATCCTAGATTTTAAAATCCAATTGATTAAGCTTAATAAGGGTGATTAGTGAGTTGATGAGGTGTATGGCTAGAAGGATCTTATAAATGTATTTGATTGTGATTTCAGCCTAAGATGCGGGTTCGAAGTGAAGTCCGGCCATCCAGGCAAGGAAAGAAGAGGAAAATTTGAAGAAAAATCCTCTGTGCTACATGCTACAATGTGAGGAACACTAGTCATGATGCATAGAGGCAAATCAGTGTAAATTAGACCTCTCCGTGCCATGTGCTGTAGCGAAAGGCTTCATGCATCGTGGCACACAACAAAAATTCTAGTTAAACCAGTTTGTGTTTGTGTGTGAAAATAGAAGAGAAGAAGAGTTGAGATCGAAAGGCACGACTTGGCTCTATTAGGGCACGCACATTGAGACCATTAGTGATACTTTAGAGCTTCCCAACCCTCGTGGTAAGTATAATATGCTTCCTTTCCTCCCTGTACTTCCATTATTATGAGAAGTTGAGTTAAGGTTTGAGTGTTAATGGTGATTTTTAGTTCATATGAGTTATGGGTCTAAACCCATTGACTAAAATGGATATAATAGGAGTTATTTAAAGTATTTAAACCCTAAATTAATGATTTTAGGAGTGCTTGGTTCATGGGAGTCATTAATATCCAAATTTTGAAATAAATGAGGTTGTTAGGAGTATTTGGTGCCCATTAATGATAGTGTAATGACTCATTAGTGACAATATGGGTCAATGAATCTTAGTAAATCTATTGGATATGATTAAGAGTGAATTTATGGTTTTGGTAAAAATGGAGAATGTGGAGTATAGTAGTGAAAACTATTAAACGTGGAGTAATAATTATATCCTTGTGATATGATTGTAGAGTAACTTACTTGGCATCATTCGAGCTTGGAAAGAAAGTTTGAAAGTTAGTATTGTGAGGAGTTATCAAAGATTTGAGGTAATTGGGAAAAATTTATTTTGTATAGTTGTATATTAATTAGATAATTGTTGAAATTAATGCTTTGAAACTTGTTTGGCGTATGAAAACTATTGATGCAATTTTGGTAACGTGGTTATTGTGTAAAATAAATTTTGTATGCGGGCAAGGACAAATGGTATGCATGTTTGGATATTTATGATTGACATTGATGTGTAAGAACATGCTTTATGTGAATAATGGAGTAATATGTGATATGAGTTATTTAGGAGAGCGAGTATGTTTACGAATGAGATATGAGATGAGTTAATGTTTAATTGCATAATATGTGCATAGCATGATCATTGATGAAAATTCACTTAGGGAGAGGAGTAAATGGTTAAACCCACGTGGTACTGGCGGTTTACCGTTGGAATCGAAAACTTGTCTTAACATCGACTATTGGAATCGAGATGTAGCCTTTATCTCATAATTGATTTGAGACTATCTCACTTGTTTTATGAGGGATTCGAACCTAACTAGTTTCTACCGATTTATGAGGAGACTAAATTAGGGGTGTGACATTCCATGGTTATTAGTATTGGGAGAAACCATGATACACAAATAAGTAAATTAACCCTGGCTCGGTAGTTTCTCACAAGTGAAAGGCTATGTTAGTCCATTATGAACATAGCTATTTAATAGCTACCGGTTTCATAATGGAGGTAATAGGAGGATATAAGCCTGACATTTGATTGTGTATTTAGATCCGATCATATAGTTGTTATTATTATGGTTCGGTATGTGTTAGGGGCGTATAGTTGATATTTCTGCTACCCCATGATATGCATTGTTGCTAAATATGATTATATGTGCTTTAGGCTTGGTTACATGATTGTTAATGTTGTGGACTAACAATCATGCTTTAGGTATGTTTTAGGCCTGTTTTAAGCTTGGTTATTTCATATATGTGTTTATGGCATTTGTTTCTATTTTTAACTTACATGTAACTGTATAAATTAAGTAAAATTTAATTATTATTGAGTGATTGTATTTTCATTCTTTGTATTGTCGAACCTCAATCCAAAATTTGGTGTTCTTTGTGCAGTCAACCCCATTTTTTGACGCTTCATTTTTTGCCCGTTTCTTTCTGGGGAAATGAGGGGGGTAAGTGAAGTGGTGGTGGCTGAGTAAACATGCGACTGCCAATCGGGCAAACTTCTGGCGCCAACGTTCGCTTGCAACATTTTAATGCACTGGATGTTTTTCTTAAAGTTGAGAGGCTTGATTGGACAAAAGAAGATATGAGGACGGTCCTACGGGTACACTTCAGTAGCAAAATCGTACTTTAAACCCAAGAAAGAATCAATCAAAGCGGCCGGAAAAAAACCTAGGCTTATTTTCAAGGCAACATTAATCCATCTTCACGAGCACAGCACCTGGACCCACCAGTGGCGAACCTGTGTCCCCCCTCGTCCCCAGCAGCTACAGCGTGAGAGGAAGAACCAGTTGAAGCACAGTCGAACCAGTACCCCACATTGTCCGCTTTTCCGAGGAGAACCAACCAAAGCAGCGTGAGAGGAAGAGGAAGAGGGCAACAATTATAGCAGAATAAAGGGTCCAGAACGAAGGACGAAGAAACAATAGCGGAGCAAAAATAGCAGGGCAACAAAGACGACAAGTCAGAACATATAAACAATGGCAGCGCAACAGAGTCCGGAACGAAGAACCATATAAAGGAACCAGAATAAAGGATACAAAGAACCATATCAGAACGAAGAAGACAATTACCTGATTCACGAGCAGATTGAAGAAGGGGAAGCACTACAGCTCTGAGACGGAGGGGGCAACAGATTAACTTCTAGCTCTGCAAAACTATTGCGTGGTTTAGAAATGGTGCCGCGTGGTTAATGCTTTCCAATCAGTTATTGTGTTTCCGTGATTTGCTGAACTTAATTTAACTTCGGCCATTGATAATGCTCCAAACGCGAGCTCACTCGCACTTGTTTTCCCGCCATCGCAGTTTGGAAATCATCGCTGTACCACCAAATTACTCAGAACTCCTTCCTGAAAAGCTGCTTTCTATTTTGAAAAAATGTTCATTCACCAAACACTTTCGACAAATTCATGCCCAAATGATTGTGAATTCAATAGACAAACCCAACCATTTACTCTCGAAAATCATTGATCTCAAAAACTTTACCTACGCCTCTCTTCTTTTCTCTCAAATCCCTGAACCCGATGACTACGCCTTTAATGTCATGATTCGTAGTTTAGCCACCACATGGCATGAGTACCCTCTTGTTCTTCACTTATATTACCAAATGAAATTCTTGGGCATAAAGCCCAACAATTTTACGTACCCGTTTTTGTTCATTGCTTGCGCTAACCTTTTGGAGATTAATCACGGCCGTGCTGCCCAATCGTCTGTGATTAAAGTTGGATTGAACGTGGATAATTACACAAGTCACTCATTGATAACCATGTATGCTAGGTGTAATGAACTGGGTTATGCGCGAAAGGTGTTTGATGAAATTAGTGAGAAAGATTTGGTTTCGTGGAACTCCTTGATTTCAGGATACTCAAAATTGGGTTATGCAAAGGAGGCAGTGGAGTTATTTGGGGAATTGAAGGATGCTGGGTTTGAACCTGATGAAATGACTCTGGTCTCTGTTCTTGGCGCTTGTGGGGAGCTAGGAAATTTAGATTTGGGGAGATTGGTGGAGGAGTTTGTCGTGGAACACAAAATGACCGTGAACTCCTACATAGGTTCTGCCTTAGTAAGTATGTATGCGAAGTGTGGTGATTTGGCATCTGCCAGAAGGATCTTTGACAGTATGGCTAAAAGAGATATCATCACATGGAATGCCATGATAACAGGGTAGGTATTATCATTAGGCTTGTTCTTTAATTAGTTCTATCATTTTGCTTGCTTTGATTATTCTTTGCTTCATTCGTAGTTCTAACAAACAAATTGGTCATTCACAATATCAGACTTCATGAGTAGATTTCTTCTTATCAAAAGACTTGCTAATACTGGTGTAACATGAACAATAAAACCAAAATCACTGCATGAGTATCAACTTAAGCAGTGGTGTATGAATATGCATCTTGGACTAAATGGTGATAACATTTTATTCTTATTTATATCATGAATCTTTATCTTATCATAAATGGGTATTGCTACAATCTTAATTTTTCTATCTAATTTTTCTTCTAGTTGATTGTGACAGATATGCCCAAAGTGGAATGGCAGATGAAGCAATTGTGCTATTTCATGGCATGGGAGGGGAACATATTGATCCAAATAAAATCACATTATCAGGGGTGCTGTCAGCCTGTGCCTCCATTGGGGCTTTGGATTTGGGGAAACATATTGATAAATATGCTTCACAAAGAGGATGGCAACATGATATTTTTATAGCCACGGCATTGATTGATATGTATGCTAAGTGTGGGAGTTTGGAGGATGCACTGAAAGTTTTTCAAGAAATGCCCAGAAAGAATGAGGCTTCTTGGAATGCAATGATATCTGCACTTGCTTCTCATGGTGAAGCCAAGGAAGCCCTGTCACTGTTTAAACTCATGGCAGAGGAAGGCGGCTATGCACGGCCTAATGATATAACGTTTGTTGGGTTGCTTTCTGCATGTGTGCATGCAGGCCTGGTTAATGAGGGCTATAGATTATTTGATATGATGAGCACATTGTTTGGATTAATTCCAAAAATTGAGCACTACTCCTGCATGGTGGATCTTCTGGCACGTGCTGGCCATCTATATGAAGCCTGGGATCTCATTGAGAGAATGCCTGAAAAGCCAGATAAGGTTGTATTGGGTTCTGTACTAAGTGCCTGTAGAAAGCTAAAAAATGTAGAAATAGGTGAACAGGTTATGCAGCTACTTCTAATGTTGGATCCTCAAAATTCTGGGAACTATATTATTTCATCAAAAATATATGAAAATTCAAATAGGTTGGATGATTCAGCAAGGATGAGGATGTTGATGAGACAGAAGGGTGTCACTAAAACTCCTGGTTGTAGCTGGATTGAGATAAAAAATCAGCTTCATGAGTTTCGTGCAGGTGATGGTTTGCATCAGGATTCTAGTGAGATTCATGACGTACTTAATTTGCTCTATGATGATCTGAAACGAGAAGGATATGTTCCAAAGATTAGTGAATAGCTGCTGCAGGAGCTGGAAATGTCGTTTTTGTTTATCTTGAAGATCCAGAAGTTTGATAATTTGGTTTACATGGTATTCTCGACCAAAAAGTTACGGTGGACTTGTTTAGTCCAGTTAGTGTGATCTGAAAACGCATGCTAAAAATTAATAGTAAGCTTATTATTGGATTTTGTTTTGATTTTCAAATTCCTTTGACATCAAGCTTGGTTTAAAATGAGATATTTAAATATCTGCCTCAGACAACCCTTTCCCCTCTTGGTAGGAGACTTCCCTAGCTCCTCCTTACAATTCAGGATCAAACGAATATGGTGACGCCAACCCACTTTGTGAAACTCCATTAGAATCAACAATTTTATGCGAATCTAGATTGAACAATCTAGAGATATCAAACCTTGATTTAGAATTCAAGTTATAAGAGCAGTAAACCACTGTCACAGATATTGATTTTCCTTCAGGAACAGAAGACAAAAACTGGGGCAAGACCAAACTTGTATCTTTTGGAGAGTGAAGATTTGGTAACCTGCTTGGCTGCTTTGTTTCTTGTTGATCATGTTTGTCATAAATTCCATTATACAACAACAATAACAACAACAACAAGCCTTTATCCCACTAGGTGGGGTTGGCTACATGGATTGCAAGACGCCATTGTGTTCTATCATTTATCAAGCTTTTAGAAATATTATTAATTAAGAAATCGTGTTCAACAACTTCCAAGAGTGTTCTCTTAGGCCTTCTTCTGCCCCTCTTAATAGGGCTCAAAGTTATATGTTTCACTTTTCTCACTGGTGCCTCCCGTGGTCTTCTTTGTACATGTTCAAACCATCTCAACCGATTTTCTACCATTTTTTTCTTAATAGGTGCTACCCTCACTTTTTCACGTACGTGCTCATTTCGAATTTTATCTTTACGTGTATGTCTGCACATCCATCATAATATTCTCATCTCTGCTACTCCAACTTTATGCTCTTGCTATCCTGTTAGAGCCTAGCATTCACTACTATATAACATGGTCGGTTTGATAGCAGTACGATAAAAATTTCCTTTAAGATTATAAAAGAGAGAAAAAGGTTGGGGTCTAAGGGGTTGGAAGGGGAAGATCAGTTACAAAACAGCCATTTTCACCTTGATGTTTTTGGACGACATCAACTATCAACTGCAAATCTTGTAGATTCAACTTGATTGGCTAGAAAAATATTGACTCTGATCGGTTGATGGTGTAATTGAATCTGTTTTTTCTCTTATTTTATTGATAAATCACGATTTACATTTATAGATGGAGGGGAGAGAGAATAAATCTAATCAAATCCCTAAACTCTCTCTTATGAAATAAAAACTAATAATAATAATAACTAATTACAGATCCTAAAAGGAAAGTGGACGTTGCAAGCCCAAGAAGGAAAATTAGGTTTGTGTATTAGTGGGTCTAGGCCCAATATAGGCAGAGGCCCACATCCAACACTCCCCCTCAAATTGGTGAGTAGATGTTAATCATTCCCAACTTGCTCCAAAATGCTTCAAATTTTTCTTGAGTCAATGCTTTGGTCATCACATTTGCGATCTGTTGACCTGAAGGGATATATGATAGATCAATCACTTTTGTGTCCAACTTTTCTTTGATGAAGTGCCGATCAATCTCCACATGTTTTGTGCGATCATGGTGTACAGGGTTATTTGAAATCTTGATTGCTGACATGTTATCGCACCATGCTTTGATTGGTCCAATTGTCTCAATCTTCAATTCCTTTAAAAGTCTAACAATCCACATTCCTTCATAAGTTCCTAGGGCAAGTGCCTTGTATTCGGATTCAGCAGAGCTTCTTGAAACTACTGGCTGCTTCTTACTTCTCTAAGTCACTAGGTTACCCCATACATGTGAGCAATACCCTGTAGTGGATCCTCTATCCATTCTTGAACTAGCCCAGTCAGCATCTGTGAATAGCTCTATGCCCCTAGTATCACCTTTTGCGAAGAATAAACCCAAGCCTGAGGTTTTCTTTAGATATCTGAGTATTCGGTGGACAGCAGCCATATGTTCTTTTTGAGGACAATTTGAGAATTGACTTACTACACTCACAGGAAAGCAGATATCAGGTCGAGTGTGTGATAAGTAAATCAACTTCCCTACCAGTTTTTGATATCTTTCTTTATTTACTGCTACACCATCAGATCTGATGGTTAGTTTTTGATTTAGCTCCATCGGAGTGTTTGCAGGCTTGGCTCCCAGCATCCCTATTTCCTTGAGCAAATCCAGGGTGTACTTTTGTTGTGACACGCTGATCCCCTTATGAGTTTGTGCTACTTGCATCCCCAAAAAATACCTTAAAGATCTAAGGTCTTTGATTTCAAATTATGTTGTTAGGTTGGCTTTTAGCTTGGCAATTTCTTCCTTGTCATTTCCTGTCAACACTATATCATCAACATACACAATGAGGGCTGTTATTTTATCGTCATGATGTTTAACAAATAGTGTATCATCAGCTTGACATTGCTTGTATCCCCATGCTTTGATGGCTCTAGTAAATTTCTCAAACCATGCTCTTGGTGACTGTTTAAGTCCATATAGACACTTGATTAACCTGCAAACCTTGTGAGAGTTATTAGTGTCTTGTAATCCCAAAGGAATTTCCATATAAACTTCTTCCTCAAGATCACCGTTTAAGAAGGCATTTTTAACATCTAGTTGATGAAGAGGCCAATCTAAGTTGGCAGCAAGAGATAATAAAACTTTTACAGAGTTAAGTTTAGCAACAGGGGAGAAAGTTTCTTGGTAATTAATACCATATGTTTGGGTAAATCCTTGAGCTACTAATCGAGCCTTATACTTGTTCACACTTCCATCAGGATTATATTTTACTGTAAAAGCCATTTACTACTTACAACAGGTTTCCCTTTAGGTAACTCAGTAATTTCCCAAGTTTTATTTTTATGTAGGCTCTTAATTCTTCTTCTATGGCATTTTTCCATTTAGGATCAGTGACAGCTTCTTCAAATTTCTAGGGGGTTTTTTCTTTCTCAACATTAGCCATAAAAGTCTTTATACGAGAAGATAGTTTATTGTATGAAACATACCTGGAAATAGGATGCTTAGTGCAATTTCTTTTCCTTTTTCTCAAAGCAATTGGCCAATGTAAATCCTCAAGACTTTCCTCAGGTATAGAATCATGGTATTGCATTGGTATGGAAATAGGATTTTCTTTATTTTGATGCTGTTCAGTAGGACTTTTTGGTTCATCCACCTGAGTCTCAGACCCAGGAAGCATATTTAGTGGCTCAAAGGGGTTTGCATCATGAAATCTGGATCTATTTGAAGAGTTTTCAGAGTTTGGTGAACTTGTTTCAGCATTTTTAGAGCTGTTTTGAGGTCCAGACTCAGAATCTGAATTGGTGGAAGAGCCATTGGTGGAGAGATCTGGGATATGTGGGGTTCAGGAGGCTGTCCAGGGGGTAGTCTAAGGTGATACTCACTCTCATCTAGGCAAATTGACCATTCACTTTCCTCACTCTCCCCCTGAATGGGAGATTTGTTAAAAAAGAATTGATTTTCAACGAATTTGACATTCATGGTGATATATATCCGGTTTGTAATAGGGGAATAGTATTTATATCCTTTTTGGGTAGAGGAATAGCCCAAGAAAACATACTTGATGGCTCGAGAGTCGAGCTTTCCACCACCTTCATTATATACAAAGGCTATGCATCCAAAAACCCTTATTGGAATAGAAGTAGTAAGATGGGACTTGGGATAAGACTCAAGAAATTTTTGTAGCGGAGTTTGAAAGTTGAGGGTTTTGGAAGGTAAGCGATTTATCAAATATGTAGAAGTAAGAATTGCATCCCCCCAAAATTTAGTAGGGACATTACCACCAAACATAAGGGCTCTAGCAACCTCAAGTAAGTGTCTATTTTTTCTTTCGGATACACCATTTTGTTGAGGGGAATAAGCACAAGAAGTTTGATGGTGTATTCCTTGTTGTTTTAAATAACTTTTGAAAGTGGAGTTCAGATATTCTCTTCTGTTGTCACTACGAAGAATTTTAAATGATGTTTGAAATTGATTTTGAATAAACACATGAAAATTTTTGAAGATGGTGAGAACCTCAGATTTTTCTCTCATTAGAAAAACCCATGTTAATCGAGTATGATCATCTATAAACGTGACAAACCATCTACATTTGGAGTTTGTTTCAAATTTTGATGGTTCCCATACGTCATTGTAGATAAGGGAAAAAGGATGAGTTGGAGTATAAGAATTGGTAGGAAAAGAATGTCGGACTTGCTTAGCAAATTTGCAAGTATCACAATGAAATTCAGAAATTGTTTTATTATTGATATTAGGAAACAGAAATTTCATATATTGAAGGCTTGGATGGCCTAACCTAGAGTGCCATAAGGTAAGGTCAACACTGGTCATGACAGAACAGATACTGGGATTATTCTTGGATGGAGATCCATGAATATAGTAGAGCCCATTCCATTCCTTAGCATTGCCAATCATCTTCCCCAAGACCAAGTCCTGAAATTCACATCCCTTTTTGTCAAAAAATACTAAGCAGTTGGCTTGATTTACAATGCGACTTACAGACAGCAAGCTACATTTAATAGTTGGAACATATAAAACATTTTTTAAGATAATATGCTCAGAAATAATTATAGTTCCAGAACCCGTGACTTTTGCAAATTCACCATTGGCTACTTCAACATATTTATGCTCAGAGTGTTTACTAAAGTTAGAAAAAAGTTCTCTAAAACCTGTTATGTGATCAGTAGCTCCTGAATCTACTACCCAAATATTCTTTGGGTTGGCTTTCTCACTGAGAGTATTGGTAAGGGCAGTATTTGATTGTGCCAAGGTTACAGAAGGATGTTTAGGCTCACTCACTCCTGTTGAAGAAGCATGCTTCTCTAGGATTTTCCAGAGAACTGACAACTCTTCAGTACTTAAAGACCCACTTTCAGGTTCTACAGCACCAATCATAAGTCCCTTTCCTTCATTTTTAGGCTTTGCTTTGGAATATGGGGGCTTTCCATGTAGTTTCCAGCAAACATCTTTGGTATGCCCACCCTTATTGTAGTGATCACACCATTTTTCAGGTTTCTTGCCCTTCATTTCCCCTTGAGCTCCACGGACAGCAAGTGCGGAAGTGTTATTCAGAAGAGGTGCTGATATTGTGGAGCTTTGAGTCAACATTTTTCTGCTCTCTTCACATCGGATCATGTTGAAGGTTTCTTCCAGCATAGGAGGGGGTTTTATGCTCATTATTTGACCCCGAATATCCTCAAAGGTTTCATTTAAACCCAACAGAAAATCATAACATCTGTCTCGATCAATCAGTTTTTTATAATAAATCCCATCCCTGTGACAAGAGCATTCATGGATCTCATAGAGATCAATTTGCTGCCAGAATTTCATTAGAGTAGTATAATATTGAGTTACAGACTTGTCACCTTGAATGAGATTTCTAAGGGAATGTTTTACCTGGAATATCGCAACAGTATTCTCTTTGATCGAGTACATGTTTTTTGCTGACTCCCAAATTTCTTTGGCAGTGGTTGCAAGCAGGTAATTCTCACTTGTCTCCACTGTCATGGAGTTTATAAGCCATGCCATCATGATATTGTTCTCAGCAAACCATATTGCATATTGGGTATCATCAGGTATTGGTGGTGGAGGAACACCAGTGAGATATTTTTCTTTATTCCTCCCTCGGGCTACCATTAAAATGTTTCGAGACCACTGAAGGTAGTTATTCCCATTCAGGCGATGGGTGACTGCGACCTGGTAGTGCGTCTCGGTTATCGGCGCAACTACCCCAGAAGGCAGAATCGTTGAGTTCGGCCCTTCCCCTCTAGTCGCACCCTTCTCGTCCCCAGGTGAAGGTGTTTTGCTGCCATCGCTGGTTTGGAAAACCCGAGGCTGTTGGTGAGTCAGTGCATTCATGTACGACATCGTGAAGAAGGAGGGAAGAGTCGAGACCAGAGCTCTAGTACCATGTAATTGAATCTGTTTTTTCTCTTATTTTATTGATAAATCACGATTTACATATATAGACGGAGGGGAGAGGGAATAAATCTAATCAGATCCCTAAACTCTCTCTTATGAAATAAAAACTAATAATAATAATAATAACTAATTACAGATCCTGAAAGGAAAGTGGACGTTGCAAGCTCAAGAAGGAAAATTAGGTTTGTGTATTAGTGGGTCTAGGCCAAATATAGGCAGAGGCCCACATCCAACAGATGGACTATAGGCTAATGTTAATATCATCCTCTCATTGGTTGATTTTATTGAATTTTTTTTTATTGATCAGTGGGATTCAATTTATTTTCCTATTTTCGACTTGATTTATTATAGTCTACTCTCACAAGAGTGTTAAATTCAATTTGAAATTTCTAGGGGGTCATTTATTATGGGAGCTTTAACAGCTGCAGTTTCAACGTTTCCCATGTTCTTGAGTGCTGCAATGCAAATAGAGAGAGGTTCCTGATACATGTGTATATCTTTACAAATAACACAATATGTTTTTTCATATCCCAATTGATTGCAGAAGCCTTTTCATGCTGGAAGGAGAGAGCACACTGACAGAAGGAGACAGCATGAATTTGAACTCTGTCTCATCATCACCATTATTCAACTCATCATCATCCTGGTCTCCTTTGCTATAGAGGGGTGAGTTGCTTCCGCTATGCTTAACATTCAAGTTTTTAGGGCCATCCTCAGGATCATCAGCCTTCTCAGGCACCACATACTTCAAGTCCAAGAAGGGTTTGTTGTTGTTTTCACCAATAGACTCAATGACAGATTCAGCCACAATGGTGACAATAGTGGTGGTAGTGTCAGGAGAAGGGGGAGGAGGAGTTCCAGGAGGAAGCAAAGCACTGGCTCTCCAGTATTTCAATTTTTCAATTAATATTATCTCACTCTATTTTTAATTTGTAAGTTTGTGTTGTTCAGTATGATCACCGAATGAAGCCATCTGTGATTCCATCAGTTTGTGTGATTTAGGTGGCAAGATGTTTGAGTGGGATCAAACCCTAGATGAGGTGAATATTTACATAAACTTACCTCCAAATTTATGAGGCAATTCTATTGCAAGATGCAGTTGAAGCACGTTGAAGTTGGCATGAAAAGCAATTCTCCATCTCTCAATGTAAGCTAGGATTCCCATTTCATACTTCCTTTCAGTTTATAAGGTTTTTTCTGTTGATTATATTTTCATCATTGTATTTTCTCATTATTTGGATGGGCCTTTTTTTTTTTTCAATGTGGTGTATTGTCTCAGCACGACCCTACTTGCCTGGTGAAGACAGATACTTTTTTCTGGACAATAGGTAAAGGTTTAGAATTTCCCTGCTTGCTGTTTGGCATTCAATGATTTGGATGGGTCATACCCCCAACTCGTTCCATTGACCACTCCACCCCTTTTTTTGACCAGTTCTTTTTTGTATTTCATGTTAAGTGCTCTGAATAATAAGCACTGCTGTTTTTGTTCCTTATTGGCTGTTTAATGCGAGCGTGATAGATATTTTTAATATATATATATACATATATAAGCATTGAAGGTTTTGATTTTTTAAGGTTGTGGGACAGGAAGCACTTGCAAGTAAACTGATTTTGATATTCCTCACAAAGATTTTGATTTCACTCTTTTCATGCACTTATTCTCAAAATAGTAATACCAGGGTTTTGGCCTTTTTTTTTTTTTTAATATTGCTCTGAGGGGAGGAGAAATACTTTACTTTGTGTTTTCATTCTTGCCTTCAACTTTCAGAGAGGATAAATACTAGGTTATGCTGACTTCATGTTTGTATTGACTTTTTGGCTTTGCTTCATACTTCATGTTTCTATGACTTTTTGCTCTGCTTTAGACTTTAAATAATCTTGGAGATTTTTGTATTGATCATCTAGGTTGTGCTGACGGATTTTGGCCTGGCCAAGCAATTTGAAAGTAATACAAGATCTAATTCCTTGTGTGGAACAATAGAGTAAATGGAACCTGTACTGAGGTAACGATTTGAGATTTGGTGACAATACAGGATTTGATATTATTCAGGCACATGTTCAGTCTAATTAAGAAGTACACATTGTTTGGGTTGCCTCTTGCCTCCTGTTCAAGTAGAACCAAGCTTGAATTTCTCACCATATGAAACTAATCATATTTTGCATATATTTTTTCCTTGTCAATATTAGATTGGATCATATGATTCAGGAATGTGTTTGATAAGTAGCTTGATTTAATTGGCGGGGACTTGTATAATGGATTTCAATATTTTACTCTTGCCTTCATATTTAGGAAAATATTGTGGTTTTATGAAATGAAAGAGCTTTAGTTTAACTTGTCAGATCCATCTCTTAATAATAGCATAATCTCCCTCCTTTTATACCAAGGGGATGGCTGCTATATTACTCACAACTGACTCACTAACTAGCTAACTAACTTTCTTTTAACATTATTAATTACTGTATCATATTAAGTATAAAGTTAATATGATGCGTGATAGATTTGCTCTGCTTCTAAGACAGTGGAACCTGTGTCTTAAAGTGGGGCTTTCCTTCATTTTTAACATTTTCTTCTTTGGTTCTATTGGATATCTGGATGATCCTGCAGCTTGATGTTCTGAATTCCGCTAAATATCTTTTCAAGAGCAAATAATCTATTAATATAATTAATCTGCAATGCTTGTCTTTATATGTAATGGGCATATTTATCTCGTACCTTGGTCTTAATGAGCCTGAGCTGAATTTTGTTATTTGACTGTAGATATTTGAGTTAAGTGCATCCCAAGGTCCTGAGGTGGGGTTGGAATTTTTCAAGCGTGTGCAATATTTTAGGGTGTTGATATATGGTGGTGATGGAAGTGTTGCACGGGTCCTTGATGCAATAGAAAAACACAATTTTGAGCCACCTCCACCTGTTGCAGTTCTCCCCCTATGTACTGGAAACGATTTGTCAAGGTTACTAAATTGGGGAGGAGGCTTCTCTGCCCTTGACACACGAGGTGGTTTGACTATGATTTTGCAAGATGTTAGCAATGCAGCAGTTACAATGTTGGATCACCGGGCAGTAAATATTACAGAAGAAACCTCAGAAGGAAAATGGAAAAAAATGAAATCTAAATTCATGAAGAACAACCTAGGTATCTGAAACAATTGTCAAATATTGTTTCTTGAGAACTATTGACAGAAAGATGGCATATGAATTTCATGTTACTCGTGAAGTATATCCTGAGAAATTTTGCCGTCAGGTAAAGGTTCTTCTTTCTTGGTATTTTATAGTTGTAAGATGTTTATTCATACTGCACCCTGTCAATTTTAAGGTAGCTTTCAAAGCACATGGTGTAAGTTACAATCTCCAAGGCTGAACAATATTTGAAAGCACTGCTACGTACAGTAAATAATGGATGGCTGTGATTATTTTAAATAGCCCAACTTTTGGACATTGGCTGCTTGATGGAACATTGGAACTAACTGCGAAAAAGGGCCTCCTGACACTTATTTGTATCATTTGTCCAGCGCGTCGAGGTGAACATTATCACAACTTCATTAACAGTTATTATTCATTAACATTATCACAACTTCATTCTAAATATGCGTTTTTTACTGTTCCGAATTAGTGCCTCAACATTACTCCCTTTGTCTCTTTTTATAGACTCTCTTTATTCTATATAGCACTGTTAAAAAAAAAAATTATGTCAATCTATGCTGAGGTACAATTCAGTGGTTGACTTTATTTATTTAAATTCCCTTATAATGAAATAGGAACTTGAAATATTTTTGTGGGATGTTCTGTTAATGAAGTTACGAATGCATGTCAGAGTTGATGATTTGAACATTGAAGGACTGGAGACATGTTATCTGCCGGACTTTCTCTGTCCAAGAGAGATTCTTTCAGAACTTTCACAGCAATTAGAATCAGAATGCAAGCAAGCCACGTTTCAATTCATGCTATGAATCTTTTCTGATTGCCTCTATGATGATGATTTTTTCTTTCCTCCCTTAGTTATAAATTGTATGTTGCATATTAATTTAATCATCTCTACTCATTTAGGATTATTGGGTTAGATCATCGGAAATCAGCAATTTCATGTATATTAGGAGGAGTGTAACTAGAAAACTGTGGTTAGACCTAGTATTTATTATATTCAATGTAAATATTTGTTACTATTATGTGGGATACCGAGTAGTTAAGAGTAGGTTTTTACGAGATTATTTCCTATTTCTTCTCCTCTGAATCAATCTCCATTATTCTCGTAGATATGATTGCTTTCTCTCCTGTATATATTCTCATACATACCTAAGATGAATATAGAAGAGTTTCTCGGCTCATTCACTACATGGTATCAGAGCACCATGACTTCCCAGTGCTGTCCGACGCCGAGAACTCTGAGACATAGAGTACTTAGCACGAGTCGAACCCAGTTCACACTTCTCCCATGTCGAACAGTGATGGGTCCTCGAAGACTGATCCGAGCAAGGTAGGTGGTCCCTTCGGGTTGACTACCAGCCACGAAGGATCATTGGTACACGTTATATCAGTGAAACTAAATGGTACAAACTACCGTATGTGGGCACAAGCTATGAAACTCGCGATCGGAGGTTGAGGGAAAATTGGCGATCTTGATGGCTCATCGAAGATCCCAGAAGACCCAAAGACGCAAGAGTTCCAGCAATGGCACACCGAAAATTCACTGGTATTATCATGGTTAATAAATGCCATGATTCCAGAAATTCAACAAAGCTTTATGTTTCTCCCCTCAGCCTATGAAATCTGGAAGGCTATACGAGATTCATACTCTGATGGGAACGACTTAGCTCGAATATATGAGCTCAAAACGAAGGCATGGACACTGCAACAAGGAGAACGTGATGTCACTGCCTTTTGGTTAGAACTGAATGCTATATGGCAGGAACTAGACTTAATGACAGATGTGGAATGGTCTAGTAGTAGTGATGCAATTAGGTATAAGGAGAAAGTTGAAAATGAGCGTGTATTTCAATTTCTTGCTGGATTAAATCAGTCCCTGGATGATGTACGAGGATGAGTCTTGAGTCGTGCACCACTCCCATCAACCAGGGAAGCTTTTTCTGTGGTACGTCGTGAAGCCTCGAGACGCAAAGTCATGCTTCCTGGCACTACCCCTACTCCAGTACCTACTCTAGATTCTGCTGCTCTTGTAAGCAAGAGCAGTGACGCAAATCAGAAGAATCAGAAAGGGAAGGTTACTTGTGAACATTGCAAGAAGATTGGGCATACCCGTGACACTTGCTTGGATATCCATGGAAAACCGACTGATTGGAAGCCAAGAAAAGGAAAAACACGAGGATACCAAGCTTCTCATGACGTGCCACCAGATAAAATAGATTCAACCTCATCAGCACCAGAGATTGATAAGGAACAGCTCGGTAAGTTACTCGAGATGCTCAGTATGCTTCAGAAGAATGAGAAAAATCAGAAACCAAATCATACTGTGTCTGTGGCTCATAAAGGTAACTGTGCCTTACTTACCTCTACTAGTAACTTCAAATGGATTGTGGATATAGGGGCAACTGATCATATGACTTCAGACTCTAAGCTATTTAGTACCTATGTCCCTAGTGCTGGAAATGAGACAGTAAGTACAGCAAATAGGTCATCTTCGTCGATAGCAGGAATAGGCAGTGTTTTTATCTCTGATGCTATGAAATTAGAACATGTTTTACATGTACCATATTTGGCCTGTAATTTGCTGTCCATTAGTAAATTAACTAAACAGGCTAATTGTTGGGCTCACTTTTGTTCCACTCATTGTGTTTTTCAGGATCTCTCATCGGGGAAGATGATTGGGAGTGCTAAGGTGCATAATGGTATTTACTACCTTGATGAATCAACCGTGAGTAGTCTTTGGTCTCGAATTCAATGCAATGTTGCATCTACCTATGAAAATAAAGAATTTAAAGATCTTATGTTATGGCATAGGAGACTAGGTCACCCAAATTTTCAATATTTATGTCGTCTGTTTCCAGAATTTCAAGTCAATAAAAACGCTCCATTTCATTGTACTGATTGTGAGCTCGCTAAACATCACAGATCCGTTTTCAAACCTATTGAGTACAAATCCACTCGTCCTTTTTCTATCATTCATAGTGATTTGTGGGGTCCTACTCGTGTCACTAATTGAACTAATACAAAGTGGTTCATCACATTTATTGATAATCATACTAGGATGTGTTGGGTTTACTTATTGCAAGATAAATCCTCTGTTCCCTCTGTGTTCTCTGAGTTTTATACAATGATAAAAAACCAATTTGGTACCACAATTCAAGTGCTTCATATTGATAATGGAATTGAATACTTCAATAACACCATGCATATGTTTCTAACAGAACATGGAATTATTCATAAAAGCACTTGTCCGAATACCCCTCAACAAAATGGCATTGTGGAAAGGAAAAACAAACACCTGTTAGAAGTTGCACGTGCTTTACTCTTCACCTACAATGTTCCTAAATTCTTTTGGGGTGATGCAACTCTCACAGTTACATACTTAATCAACCGCATGCCAAGTCGTGTTCTCTCTTATATTTCACCACTTGAAAAATTACAAGAATGTCACTCTGTCACTCACCTCACCACTAATCTTCCCCTCAAAATCTTTGGCTGTACCACCTATGTTCATTCTCATCATTCCCATAAATTGGAAACCAAAGCTGTCAAATGTCTCTTCCTTGGTTACTCTTCCACACAAAAGGGGTATAAATGTTTTGACCCTACTACCAAACGACTTTACATCAGCCGAGACGTTACCTTTGCTGAAAATGAACCTTTTTATCCAAATGCCTCAATTCAGGGGGAGAGGGCGAGTGATTTTCAGCCTTTAGAAAGTGAGAGAAGTGAGAAATACTCAATCCACGATCCTTTGTTCACGAGCTCAGATCCTTTATCAGAAAATTCTTGGGTTCTTAGGCCAGAAACTGAAGTGAAAAGTCTTTCAAAATATAATAAAGATGCTGGTATTACACTGGACAAGACACCAATAACCTACTTAAGGAAGAAATGGAAAAAGAGGGAGACTATTATGACTGACGCACAACCAGAATCTGAACTGAAAGAGGTTCCTGAAGTAGAGAATGTAGAAGGTGCGGTGTTTCCTCAAGAATCCGAGGAAGAAGCAGTGACCGAAATGGACGAAGTGGATGAGTTAGACCTACCTATAGCTCTCAGAAAGCAACCAAGGGCCTGCACACAGCATCCTATTCAGAGGTTTGTGAGTTACCATACATTATCCTCACAATTTCGTGCATTTATAACTGATCTTGACAAGGTAAAGATTCCTAATGATGTGCATGAAGCACTGAGTGTACCTGAATGGAAGAAGGTTGTAATGGAGGAAGTAAATGCCTTAAAAAAGAATGACACGTGGGAGATAGTAGATCTTCCAAAAGGAAAGAAAATTGTGAGCTGTAAGTGGGTATTTACCCCTAAATATGATGCTGACGGGAAATTAGACAGATTGAAAGCAAGGTTGGTGGCAAGGGGGTTTACTCAAACATATGGCTTGGATTACAAAGAAACATTTGCACTTGTGGCCAAGCTTAACGCTATCAGAATTTTGATTTCTGTAGTTGCAAACTTGGACTGGCCCCTACATCAACTAGATATAAAGAATGCCTTCTTAAATGGTGATCTAAAAGAAGAAGTTTTCATGACTTTACCCCCAGGTTTTGAGGAAGGGAGAACCAATCAAGTGTGTAAGCTGAAAAAAATCTTTGTATAGGTTAAAGCAATCACCTCGAGCCTGGTTTGACAGATTCTCAACAGTTTTGAGAGCTGAAGGGTATAAGCAGGGGTTGGCTGATCACACTATGTTTGTAAAGAGGGAAATGGAAAAAGATGTATCCTCATTGTATATGTTGATGATATAATTGTCACAGGTGATCATAAGGAGGAAGTGGATAGAATAAAGAGGGCTCTGGGAAAGGAGTTTGAAGTGAATGACTTGGGCAACTTGAAGTATTTTCTAGGTATGGAGGTTGCAAGGTCACAGCAAGGGATTTATGTGTCCCAAAGAAAATATATTATTGATTTACTTGCTGAAACTGGCATGTTGGGATGCAGACCTGTAGACACACCCATTGTTGTTAAGAAAAAAAAGGAGAAACCGAAAGAAAATCAGAAGGTGAGGAGGAAGAAGAAGAAGAAGAAGAAAAGAATGAGCTAGTAGACAAAGAAAGATACCAAAGATTAGTTGGTAAACTAATTTATCTCTCTCAAACTCGACTAGACATAGCTTTCGCAATAAGCATTGCAAGCCAGTATATGTGCGACCCCAGAGAAAGGCATATGGAAGCCGCATACAGAATCTTGAGGTACTTAAAGGGCACACCTGGTAAAGGATTGCTATTTAAGAAACAAAACCTAAGATCTATAGAAATATATACAGATGCAGATTGGGAAGGAACATACAAGGATAAGAGGTCAACATCAGGTTACTGTTCCTTCGTATGGGGAAATTTAGTCTCTTGGAAGAGTCAGAAGCAAAGAGTGGTCTCAAGAAGTAGTGCAAAATCAGAACTAAGGGCTCTAGCTCAAGGCATCTCAGAGGTACTATGGGTAAAAAGAGTCATGGATGAGATACATGTCAAAATTGATTCCCCATTGAAGCTTTATTGTGATAATAAAGCTGCAATAAGTATGGCTCTAAATCCAGTTCAGCATGAAAGATCCAAACATGTGGAGATTGATGGACGTTTTATAAGGGAAAAGGTTGAAGAAGGAGTCGTCTGTCTCATTTATCTACCAACAAGACTCCAAGCTGCTGATGTGCTCACCAAAGGATTACAAAGAACAGCATTTGATGGTTGTATAAGCAAGTTGGACATGATTAGTATCTATGATCTAACTTGAGGGGGAGTGTGGTTAGACCTAGTATTTATTATATTCAATGTAAACATCTGTTACTATTATGTGGGATACCGGGTAGTTAAGAGTAGGAGGTTTTTACGAGATTATTTCCTATTTCTTCTCCTCTGAATCAATCTCCATTATTCTCGGAGATATGATTGCTTTCTCTCCTGTATATATTCTCATACATACCTAAGATGAATATAGAAGAGTTTCTCGGCTCATTTACTACAAAAACCAGTTGCAGTTTTTGGAATTATTGCTGTGTAACTGGATGAAGGCAATTGCTTTTGATGTTATCAATAGTAGGTAATTTTTGTGTGAGTTTTCTATCAGCTCTTCAATTTATTCATTGTTCCCATCAGTTTTATTGTGTGAAACATTGAATGTTCTTTGCGTGGGTTGGTTCTACCATGATTAGATATAGACGGACAGGTCAAAAAAGGAAACAATGCGGAGGATATATGAGTATTCAATTGCCAAACATCAGTATGGATGTGGTGTTTGTTTTTATGATGACACCCAACCTTAACTCTATAGTTAGTTTATTCATATTAATGGAGTGTTTATGGCCTTCCTGCCATTTCTTTTTCAAGAATTTTGAAAGAAAGAAGAAATCCAAAAGGCATGCTAAATAAATCCTCTGAGCTTTGAATATGGGTTTATTAAATTTTCATTTCTAGGCTTCTTAAATTCAGAAGCTTTGAAATGCATCTCATCCTTTTGCATTCTTGATGCTGCACGATTATTTTATTTTATTTTTTTCCCTGTAAGTACGTGAAATGCCTGCTAATGATATAGCTTGCCGTTTCTTACTTGTTGCAGGGGTCACAGTGCTGATATCTTCTACTTCCCTCCCAGGACACGTTCTTATATATTAACCTTCAATAAGTACAATTTTATTTTCCTACAATTATATATCTGAAATAATGCCCTATAAGATGTACATCCTTTATTTTTATTTTGCCTGGGCTAGAGGTACATGCAGGCATTATTTCAAAATTTAGTTGTTTGGAAGAGAAAGCTATTACATCTCAAATGCTCATCTAATTCAGTACAATCCTGTTATTTTCCCATATCATTTTTGCCAAGCACAAAGATAAACCTAATGCAATAATCTCGTTTTTTAATTGGAATTTTTAACGGCATGTGCTTTGTATAATTCATCCCTCCCTACTCTATTCTGAAAGTCCAACGGGGCATTCTTCTTCCACTGGCCATTTCAAACGATGAATCTCTCAAGAATGGTGGTGTTGAGATTGTAAAGTAAAAAGCTTTTTTGTAGTAAGTTTTTTTTTCCCCAAGATTTGATCTTGATTTTTGTTCTAGATAAAATCTTATTGTTTTTTATATTGATTGTAGATATGGATTTTCATATTGATCATGGCTTTATTTTTTAATGTTTTACATCCTAGATTTGTTTAAAATTTGGCGACAGAACTGGAAGAGCAGCTGCTGTTTAATTACTTTTTTACTTGAGGTAGAATCATATGGTTTTTTATATTTCTGACATGGAAGTTGATTTTTGTTCTTTGATGTTTGGTTTTTCAATGTTGGTGGATGCCCAGGCTCTAAAAATTTACGTTATGTTTGGTTGGAGAGGCGGGAAGAGGGGAAAGATTTTGATGAAAAGGAAATGAGGTAAGGGAGGGGTAGGGGAGGGAGAAGAGGAATCCTCCCAATTTGGAGGGGAGACTCAAGGGGAAAATTGTTCCTCCTCTCCCCTTCCGTTGTAATTTTGCATGAGCTGGCTTCTTCAGTACATACCATACATATCCTCAGCGAGCTGCTTTTATTTCATCTCTTTGAATTTAGAAGAGATAATGCCTTCTTCTTATTAGTTTTGCCAATTTCTGTCTGTACCACCATTAATTTTATGTCATCATTATTCCGGTGCTGAGGATAGTAACAGAATTGTCAAAGAATTGGAACAGGGCGAGGCAGTTGTACCTATGCATGTGGTCGGCCTGAGACACTTGATAAATTGTACATTTTGGCTCACTTCTCCATAAGTTGGAGGTTTTTAGTTTTCCTTTTTTTTTTTAAAAAAAATTGACATTTGCAAGTTTATATTTGACTGACAGAATAATGTGATCCTAATGAGTAGGTAAAAGTCTCAGATATTTGGAACGCATGAAAACAGAAAAAGTGAGGTGAGGGACAATTTGAAGCAAGGAGAAGATATTTGAATTGACTATGCAGCTTGGCTTTTCTACTGTTGGAATCTGCAAATGGAGTTACAACAAGCAATGTGCAATCTTCAAAGGGATTTATGTTAACTTATGACAAACTAGATTGTATAGTCGGGCGTCATCAAAAGAGATACATGGCCTCAATTTTTTAGGAAAAAAATGAATCGGTGTTTGAAGATTTTAATTAATTTTTCTTGCTATTTTTATTTACATATTTTCTTTAATTGAAATTTATTAAATTGAAGTCATTAATAACTCCCTTATATTCCCCTCCAACTAAATAGGAGGTTAATTTCATATTGATACATATTGTTTACTTACAAACAAAAAATGTGTTTTATTTGTTAAAATCCTTTTTATCAAAACCATAAAGCAATTAGGATCGTTCTCAAGATTTGATTGTAGATGACTTTTAATAACTAGAACACTTTATATTTATTAAATTATTAACTATTCCATTTAACTAAATCATTTCAAAGGTTTTTTTCTTCATATTTTCCCAAGATTGTATTACTAATCATCCTTGCAAGTTGTAATGCATGTGGATCAATGATATTAAAATTGGATCGGTCGGTTGGATTGGTCCAGATTTTGGCTCGGCCAGAAGGGAAAAATTGTGTGAAGGGTTAAGTCGGGTTGAGCTGTTTCAAACTGCTAGTTAGACCGCGAATCGGGAACCAGATTTAGTTTTAAAAAATTGGATGGTTTGGTTTTTTTTTTTCTTTTTTGAACCCTAAGAGAAGGCAGGCCATGCCTTTTTGCTTTGTTTACTTTTTGAGCTTTAGTTTCGACATTCAAGCTTTTGTGAGCTCCTCCTTTCCTCTCATTCTTTGTGACTTCGGTAGGGTAGTGATGAGATTTCCTTCCTCTTCCCCTATCGATCAACATCAACTACGGTAGGCACAGACCATGATGGCTATTTTCCTCCTCTTTCTTGTGCTTGTCCTCATTGATCTATCCTCTTCCTCGACCATGGTGCTATATGGTGAACAAAAAGTGACAGTGCAAAGTAGCAACTCGATCTTCCTCGTCCTCACCAATCTATTGTCGTTGACCATGGGACATACTGAAGCCAAGCAGCCATTGACGCATTGAACAGTGAACATAGAATCGCAAAATGACTAGGCAGAGCATCCCCTTTTGATTTACACTGAAGCCAAGCAGCCATTGACACATTGAACAGTGAACATAGAATTGCAAAGTGATGAGGTAGAGCATCCCCTTCTGATTTTTGATCATTTTCTTCATCCTTCTTGATCATTGAGTTATGAATCTTTTGATCTTTTTCTTCATTTGCCTAGCTTTGCTTTATCATCTATGTAAGTTTTATGAGGAAGATTGCCATTCAAACCATGCGGATTTTATTAAAAACACTTAGATTTAGATCTCAATTCACTTCTTTTAACATGATTTTAATTCCATTAATTTGTTCTTCCCCTTATGGCAATTGAATTTTTTGTTTGGCATAAGCTTCTGCATCTTTTGGTATATTTCAGAACTAGGACAATCTTTAGTTTTGTTCATTGGCACTTAGTCTTCTATGTCTCAAGGTGAAATCCTTGAAATTACTTATTTAGGTGCACGAGTCTGTAGCTCTTTATGTGACTGGAAAGCTAGCTAATTGAGTTGCTGTTCTAATGGCACTTCTATTTTGGTCACAACTGAATTTTCTCGTTTTGATCCCTCATGTGGGGGAGTGCAAGTAGAGAGCCTTTATGTCTTATTCTTTGGGGCTATTTAGAATTAAATGCTCAAAGACAAGGGCTAAAATATAATTAATTATATGATGTTTTATTATATTATTATATAGATATATAAATTTTTATTTTTTAAAATTTAATTATTACGTTATCGGTTCGACTATTGGTCTAACCCAGTTAGATTATGTGAACTGTGAACCGCTTGCCTCTCCGGACCATTGTTTGGTTTGGTTCTGAAAACATTGATGTGGATGATAGTTGCTCTTTATCGGGCTAGTTAGGGTCAATGGTTCATGCGTAAGGTTATTGCATACATGTCTAAAAATTAAATAATTTCATACTTTAATTGCTTCATTAGTATAAATATAGATATATTTTTCAACATGTAGAAAATCTGTCTTCTTAAATTATCATGTTACACAATTAAAATTAAAATTTATTTGTCCTAGCATTTTTCTTATCTTGAATAATAATATTTTAAAATAAATCACAATTGCCTTTCTCATTACAATTTTTTTTTTCTAATGTTTAGTTTAATATCATATTGAAAAAAAATTCGTCTTACATTTGTATGACTTTTAATCCGTGCAATGTATATAATCCAATCTAGTTACTTACATATCCGTAGAGGGCAAGATTTCTTGGGGAATCCTTGATGGTGCTAATAGAATTTGCAGAGAGCTTTAGGAAAAAGCAAGACTAAAAGTAGATTAACTTGCATATGTACTTCAGCTAATATGAACAAACAATAATATAATAGAGTAATGTTGACTATATTTATATACACTCGAGATGGAGCAAAAGAAGCCTTTTATCTTCCTCTATAGGGTTTTAAGATGTGCTAGGCTTGGTACGACAAATGGTGCCCCTTTCCTAAACCCCTCGTTAATTATGCATCTCCTAAAGTAGACTCAATTTTACATGCCAAAGTCTCTGATTTCTATTCTGCCATAGGAAGATGGAATGTTGATCAATTAAGCAGATATCTCCACCAAGATGTCATTAAACACATCATTGTTTTTCAACCTCCTAATGTCAATGCTAACAATGATACTATTTGTTGGAGACCTTTTAATGTTGGCAGCTTTACCATCAAATCTACTTATAAGGCTATCGATAATCACTATGATAGCCCCAACTCTAAGATTTGGTTGAAAATTTGGAAATGGCCAACGTATGACAAGATCAAAACCTTTCTTTAGAAAGCGGCCTGGGATCATCTTCAACCTAAGTTCACCTACTTTAATGATGGCAATATCTTTCCTAGGCCATGCCCTTTTGGCTACAACTCTATAGATTCAACCATTCACATCTTGAGAGATTGCAAGACTTCTAAAAAGATTTGGATAAAATTAGTTAAACACTCTAAATTCAACACTTTCTTTTCTCTTCCTCGACGAGACTAGATACTTTGGAATGCTGACTATGATGTAGGCAATGCTTGTTTGAGAAAGATCCCTTGGTAGAAATTATTCACCCATGTATGTTGGAATATCTGGAAAGATAAATGCAAAATCATCTACTTTGCAGAAGATAATCTTGAGAGAGACATTGCATTTACTAACATCCAGGATATACTCAATGATCAATGTCTTCAATCAAAAATCAATTTTTTGAACCAACGAGGGAATAGAACAAATGCTAAATGGTTTTGCCTTAAAAATGGGTGTGTTAGACTTGATATAGATGGCTCAATTAATCAAGGTGTTAATTCTTGCAGTGAACTCATACGAGATGAGCATGAGAATTGGATCAAAGGCTTCTCCAAGTATCTTGGTTACCATTTGTGCACGAGAGCTGAGCTTTTGGGCATATTGGAATGACTAATCATTTGTTGAGATGAAAAGATTGACAAAGTTCATGTCTACTTTAACTCTATAGAAGCTCTCACATTAATACGCAACGAGTTCTCTACAAAGCACCCTCTAATTGCTACTATTAATAAAATCAGAGATCTTATTATGAAAGACTGGATGGTCACCTTTTATTAAGTCTACAAGGAGGCAAACAAATGTGCAGATTGGCTGGCACATCGAGCTTCTACTGATAATTTTAATGTTCATTTTTTTATGCTCCACCACTTGGATGTAGACATTTTTTGTGCATTGACATGACATAACATGTCATTTGCACGGTGTTCCTATGGCCTTTTTTCAAAAAAAAAAAAAAAGACATGCTAGGCTTAAACTATCATTTTGATTGCTGGGCTTGGGAAAGAAACATGAAGGATTAAGCTATTAAATTGTAAGAAAAGTATTTTTACTCTCAAGGCAGGAAATTATTGTATAGATTGGCTTGCAAATATTAGTTTAAATATGTCTGATGGCTTTACTATTTTTCATGAACCTCCCAAGGGAATTGAGTTTCTGTTATATCAAGATAAAACCCTCGATCTTTAAAAAAAAATTAAAGGATCTAGCTCAAGTCCATACATTATTACAGTCACATAATAAGGGTAAAATAAAAAGTAAATTAAAAAAACACTTGACAAGATGCAAGCGTTAATCATAGTATGAAAGAACTTTGAAATTGATCGAGGAGAACCTATCTAGCTGAAAGCTAAGGTTTGTGTTGGTGGATAGAGCAACTTAGTAGCTATCTTGTAAAGGGAAGAATATCAAGTTAAAACAAGCAATGGAAATTGAGTAAAGTGAAATCCTCTCTTCTATTGCAAAGTTGCAAATCCAATAGAGAACAGAATGAAGATATTCATTTATGAAGGAAGGATGGCATTGTGATTTCTTCTTTTTTTTTTGAATAAAACTGAAAACATGCATTAAAAATTAAAGAGCATTCAGCTCATCAAGTTCAACAGGTAAGGGTGATCTTTCTCCATTGTCCAACCCTTATATGATTGTTGGAGGATGATAAAAAATATAGAAATTCTCATGAAAAGTGGAAGAAAACATGGCTAATCTATTAGAAAGGACATTCTTTTCCCTAACAACATATGAGAAACTAATCTTCCTTCTTTGTGTTAGTAATAATATCATTGAAGGGATAATTCTCAGTGTACCCTCTAGTTACCAGATTAATAGCTTCAACATAGTCAGAAAAGATCTGAATATTTTTGTAGCCTTCTTTCCAACAAAGCTCAAGTCCCTAAAAAATAGCAATAATTTCTGCGATGGTTGGTGGAACAACTAG